GCTTTTTTTGCACAAAACCCCAGCCAATGTAAGCTACTTGTTAGAATAACAGGCAGCTAAGAAGAATCATGCCCCCTTTCTTGGGCTCAGTTATTTGTGAAGCACATGGCCAGGCAAGCAGGCAGGCTGGCTGGCTGGGAAACATTTTAAGCTCTGCAGGCAAGCAGGCTAGTTTTGCAGCTGACAAGTGAGTCTCTTGGCCACAGCCTGCTTCTGGCACCCCAGCCCTTTCCTGCCCCAACTCTCTGCCTCCTCCCCTGCATTCAACAAACCCAAACCCTCTGGCCCCCTTTTACACCTAAACCCCCTCCCAGAACTGGCACCTCACTCTCCTGCCCCAGATCCCAATCCCCCCAACTCTAGGGCACATCCCAAACCCCTGCACTCCAGTCCCCTGCCCTAGGTCACAACCACCTGCTTCATCCCAACTCCCTCCCAGACTCCAGTCTCCCTCCTGCACCCCAGTCCCTTACCCCAAGCTCCCTTCTGCACCCAACCTCCATCCCAGACCCTGCATCTCCATTAATACCATGAAACAGCGCAGCCTGCGACCACTTTCCAGAATCTTGGAGGGCCCCCCCCCTTTTGAAAATTATTGCCCACCTCTGGTATGGAGGATAGGTCTTGCTGGCTCATAGGCTCCATCTAGTGGCTCAATTGACAATTGCAGGGCAGTGACAATTCTGAGTTTTGCTCCTGAATTCCTCTCTCTGCTTCCACAGGATATAAAGTGGGGTACAGAACGGGACCCAGAGGGTGTGTTAAGGTGGCTACCTGGGTAGTGCAGTGCCACGGTGCTAAGGAGCAAGACCTCCTTCTCAGCACGACCCGTCCCAGTCAATACAGCGTCCCTCAGAATCCCCCGTCTGCTCACTGACCGGGCTCTGTGGGCCTACAGCCCAGGTACCCGTCCCGCTAGCACCCACCCACTCACAGGGCAGGTTGATCATGTCCAGGTGGTAGGCTAGCGTCACAGCCTGGGGGTCGGTGACACGCAGGCAGTTGCCCATGGCTGTGGTGTTGTCCGTAGGGCAGCCCACCTTCGCTGCAACCTGCAGGGAGAAACGACCATGGAGTTACTCCTGGCCACCATTGGCACCACCTGCCAGGAATTAGCACTGAGCTAATAGCCACTGGGGGAAAGGAGAGCTGCTTTCTAAGCCCTAGAGCAGTGGTTCCCAAACTTTTTGGCATCACCCCCCCTTTTTGATTTTTTGAGAAACCCTCATGTGCGCCCCCACCCCCCAAGAAAAATAGCAGCAAAACTTGTTGAGCAAAAAAAAAAGGACTAATCGGGTCAAAAAACAAAAATAGCAGTAAAACTTGGGGGTATTGACTGGGGGAGGGCTGGGTCACCTCACCCCCCCCCCCCCCCGGCATTTCTTCACACACCCCCAGTTTGGGAACCCATGCCCTAGAGTTTCATTTGCAAATTCCCCACCTCTGCAGCGCATTGTCCTGCTCTGAACATTTAGTTTTGTTGCAGCACCTGCTGATTAAATCACCCTCAGTTTTTTCACATACAAGTGTAATGCCGACAGGCGGAACCAAACCTGGGACCTCTGGAGCTTAATGCATGAGCCCAGGGGTGGGTGAGAGTTTTGCGGGGTGCAGGGCACAGGGCTTATTGAAGCACGGGGCCTGGAGCAGCAGCCCCGCTCGCTCTGCCCTATATTCGCTGTCGCATGAGCTTCTGCTGCTTGAACTAAAAGCCATCTGGCTCTCTGTTTAGGCTGTAGCGCAGACGCATTATTCCCTCTATAAGTGTTCTAAGTGCCACTAGACGAGACAGTGAACCACACCCAAAAGGTATGTGGGTTACACCAGCAAGTCCCAGCTGGCCTCAATTTGGCAGTGTCAGCGCGGCTCTGAATCCAAATGGCTTGAGTAACTGGAGCACGATTTGTCCCCCTGCAGCTGCTGTGCACCCCCTCGCAGACGGCAGCCTGACAAAGCCCTGGGAAATTTGCCTCGGGACACGGCCCTATTTCTGGAGTCCAATTTTACCTTGGTAGCCAAGGCGAGGGGATTCTCCTGGATAGCCCAGCTGCACAGAGCAACGCCGCTTTGGCTGATGGCTCGTTTGAACAGCCCCTTGTTGGATGGCGCCAGCATCTGCCACGTGGAAGAGGAACAGGAGGGTTATTCGGTATCAAGCCCTGAAAAGATCCGCCCGTATTCTGGTACAGCCAAGGCTTTATATGAGGTCAGAAAAGTTGTTCGCTCTGTACACGTCTCAGCCTCTTACAGGGTCTCAGGAACACGGAGACTCAGTCGTCTAAAACTCAAGGCAGCCATGGTGCTGAGATATTACAGCCAGCAAGGCACCAATAGGAGAGCAGGCTGGGGCAGACGACAGATACTGTTACCCCAAGGAAACCCTAAGGCAGGACAGTGCCTGGAGAAGCAGCACCCTCCCCATCTGGCTATGGAGGGTTTAGAAAGGACGTTTTGAAAGCAAAGCTGAGAGCAGCTGTGAGGAAAACAATTCCTTTCTCCATGCAGGGTGGGCAGCTGAAATGAATGCCCTTTGGGTAGACCTATTGTCCTCCCAGGACAGCACCTGCAGTGAGAGAAGCCCAGCAAAACCAGCTGTGATAAGGCAGTTTTCCCTTCACAAAACTGAGGGGAAAGTGCCCCCCCTCTCTCCCTCCCCGAAGGCCCAGTGGCAATCACCCACCTGTAACGAGACGCTGACAGCGCCAGCAGACTCCCCAAAGATGGTGATGTTTTCTGGGTCGCCCCCAAAGACCTTGATGTTTCTCTTCACCCAAGCGATGGCCATGTGCTGGTCCTTCAGCCCGTAGTTACCTGGCCAAGGGACGGCATAGACAACGAGGAGAGAACGGAAGCAGCGAGGCTCGAAGTCCACCCTGCCCCACACGCCCAGCTTCCCTCGGTATCAGAGCTGAGCTTAGAATTCAGGAGTTCCTGGCTCGTGAGCCCATGGTTATGTTTTGTGAAGTTGTGCATTTAATCAAGGGCTTTTCCCCCTCTGGACAACCTCGTTCTCCTCATGCCACATGCTGAAGCAAAGCCGAGACCTTGCGTTTGAGGTATTATCCCCTCAGAAATCCTGCAGTATCTTAACTTGGCTCACCAACTGGTCAGATAGGAGAGACAAGAGGTGATGGGCAGGCAGACAGCCTTTGGTGGGTCTCCGGCCCATCTAACCAGCACCCCCACCGTGCCTCAAATACCCTCAATCTAGGGAGCGCGGTGGCAGCAGATTTCCCAGTGTGTGCAGAGGTTGGGGGAAATAGGAAGGAGGTTTCTGGAGCGAAGTGCAGCAGCTGCCATACCTGGAATACTGGAGTCACCCGTGCTGAGGAAGCCCAGTGGTCCCACCCGGTAGTTCAAGGTCACCACGATGACCTTTCCTCGCACCGCGATCTCCTGGCCATCGTAGAGGTAGTTGTTCAGGAAGTTCGCGCCTTGTCCACCTCCAACCAGGAATCCGCCTCCATAGATCCAGACCATCACTGGCAGATTGGTGGACACTGTGGGAAAGGGAGGGTTTCACAGCATGTAGTCAACCTGTGGAACTCCTTGCCAGAGGAGGCTGTGAAGGCTAGGACTATAACAGAGTTTAAAGAGAACCTAGATAATTTCATGGAGGTTAGGTCCATAAAAGGCTATTCGCCAGGGGATAAAATGGTGTCCCTGGCCTCTGTTTGTCAGAGGCTGGAGAAGGATGGCAGGAGACAAATCACTTGATCATTGTCTTCGGTCCGCCCCCTCTGGAGCACCTGGTGCTGGCCGCTGTCAGCAGACAGGCTACTGGGCTAGATGGAACTTTGGTCTGACCCAGTACAGCCGTTCTTATGGTTTACACAGGGGCAGAGTCCTTCCAAATGAAACCCAAGCCCCACCACGCCACATAGGCAGGATGCCATCTGCTGGGTCCATTCCCCAGCAGGCGTCACCCCCCTCGAGTGTGAGCAAGTCTCTTGGGTGAGCACAGAAACTTCTGCCTCCGGGTCCGCCTGACCATAGCCCCCAGGGAGCCGGTCAGGGACGGACAGCCAAACACGGAGCTGCTCAGCCCTGCCTCATCTCCCTCCTGCTACCATCAAGCCTGTACCTCCCTTCTTATCTTGAGGGACCCAGATGTTCAGATAAAGACAGTCCTCACTCCCACGAGTCCCGATTTGGGTGAGCGTGACCTGCAGGCAACGGTGTTTGTACTCCTTGGCCTTCAGCGTACCTACGAGGAGAAAGAAGACAACACCCCCACTTCAGAACCCCCGGCTCCATCCTGTAGGCTTGAGAGCCAGGCCCTGTTCCTGGCCCCTCACTCACCACCACGACACTGGTTCCAACTGGCAGAACAACTGTGAGGAAACTAGGGAGGTGAATGGTTAACCGGTTAACCAGTGCGGGGCTGGAGCAGCTCCCCGCCCACCACAGACCGGGGGCTCCTCCCCCATCCACTGTCTGTGGCAGGCCCCCAGGCCCACCTCCCCTTTAATCAGTTAACCGATGAGCTACAACGGCTTAAAACCTCAGGAACCTTTGGGAATTGCGGCCACAGAACCTGCAGGGACCGTGCTGTCCCGGCACCTCCACAGAGGAGAGTTCCTGGTGACAACGCTCCCTGCTAATAGCCCGGGCAACATCTTAGTGACATTCACTTAGGCCGTGTCCAGACTCAGGGGTTTTTTCGGGAAAAGTAGCCTTTTCCCGAAAAAACTTCCCCTGCGTCCAGACTCAAGCCGCGTTCTTTCGAAATTATTTCGAAAGAATGCGGCTTTTCTTTCGATGGCGGTAAACCTCGTTTCACGAGGAAGAACGCCTTCCTTCGAAAGTTCCTCTTTCGAAGGAAGGCGTTCTTCAATGTAAAGAGGCCGTCTTCGAAAGAGAGCATCCAGACTCGCTGGGTGCTCTCTTTCGAAAAAGCGGATTTCTCTTTCGAAAGATCCGCCTGCAGTCTAGACATAGCCTTAGTGAACGAAAGCAGCACCAGCTCCAGGTCCTGCACACAATAACAGGCCCTGCTGAGGGCCTGAATGCAAGTCCAAGCATGTTACTGCTGGGGCAAGCTATGCCACTGAAAAGGGCAATGTCAGAAGAGGGATACCGGACTTGGACATTCATGAGGATGGAGCAAAATACACCCCCAATGTGGTTAATTCAGCCGTAACCATAATTGACCAACAGGGGTATGAAAACCAGAGACCTTCTCACAGGAGGCCTCTCAGGGTACGCCTACCCCGCAACATTATTTTGAAATAACTTAGTCCGCATCTCTACAGCAGGAAGTTATGTCAAAATAATGTCAAAATACTGTTGAGCTGGGGACTTCGTACGCTGACTCCTGTAACTGTCCTTGTACGAGCAGGGCCGGACGGAGGCATGGGCGAGCCGGGCAGCTGCCCAGGGCGCCAACCCACGGGGGGCGCCTGATGGCAGCTGTAAGGGGCGCGCGGTGTCCCTTATAGTTGCCATCAGGAACCGCGTGCCCGGCTCCTGCAGCACCGGCCGCACGGCACCAGACAGCAGCGCCCTTGCCCCCATGGCTGCGGGGCCCTGTACGGCCCGCTGTGTGCACCAGCAGTGGTGGCCGGGCTGGACAGTGCATGCACCGTGCACTCCGGGGGTGGGCCCCGGGCTGCGCACTAGCAGCCATGACCAGCCCACGCATGCACCGAACGTCCCAGGGGCGGGCCTGCGCATGCGCCCTGTGTGGGAGGGGCGCCACTCGCCCGGGCCCAGGGCACCAAAGGGGCTCAAGCCGGCTCTGTGTACAAGGAGCAAGGGAAGTTGGAGGAAGAGGGCTCTATTTCGAACTAAGTGCTGTGTAGACGCTCCCAATTTCAAAATAAGCTATGCAATGGATGTGGCTCAATTTACGTAGCTTATTTCAAGTTAACCCTGCTGTGTAAACGCACCCCCCAATACTCAACAAGGTGGTTAATGCCGTATTGGGGAAACAAACCAGCCTTCCAAGATGGTTTGAGAATTAACACGTTCTGAGAGTGGTGGGGGACAGAAACCAAAAGACCTTCTGTGTCTTACCAGACCAGCCAGGATGTGGTTTGGGGTCTTCAAAATTCTTTGGAGGAGCAGCAAAAGGGATTCCTTTGAAGATATCGATGTAGTTCCCGAAGAGTCCCAGTCTCTCACTGATACCCTCGACAAAACCTCCTTCGGTGTGCACCACACCCAGCTAAGCATGTGCCGAGAGGAGAGAGGGGGCAACAAACACCGTTGTGTGAACATCGGCAGAACTCAGAGCAGGAACAAAAACCTGCCCCGTTTGTTTAGCCCTAAGATGCAGTCGCTATGAAAGCAGCATGTTTCCACAGCAGCTGTGTTCCAAACCAGACTTGTTTTACATCAATCGTGAAAGAGCATCCTCTGAAGCCTCTTTATACAATTAATGAATCCCACGTTCATTTCTATTAGTGCAGCATTTGCATTTGCGCATTCAGGATTTTTACCCAGCAGGGATTTCGAAATGTTTCACAAGCCTTAGGTAGCGATAAATGCTGACGGCACTTTACAGGCAGGGATGCTGAAAACCAGCAAGGAGGTGGCATGAAGTCAAAGGGAGCTGAAGGCACTTGTTGCCTGCTATTGCTGAGCACTTTGCAAGACCAAGTAGGGATGTTAGCAGTGTCATGTAAACAATTAACTGATATGCCTGGGTTTATCAGTTAATCCAAACACATACATGCACGCCCCTCCCCTGGGGAGGCAGGAGCTGGTGCCCATGGGGAGTCTGGTTTTAAACTAGTTCGTCACGAGCACCCGATCCTACAGACCCACCTGCCCCCCACCCTTGCTGCCTCCCACAGAGGCAGCAATACAGGAGGCTGGGGGAACAGGCAACACAGCCTGTCAGTGGGGAGCTCAGACCCCCTTCCCCCCCACAGAAAGAGGCTGCTGCCTCTGTATCAGAGGCAGCAGCGTAGGGCAGCAGGCAGGAGCCAATCTGTGCAGGGAGCCAATTTTTAAACGGGTTCCCCTCATGTACAGGCTCCCACTTTCTGCCTTGCACTGCTGTCTCTGATACTGAGGCAGCAGCACGGGGTGGCAAGGGACTTCCTGTGAGAGGGCTGGACGCCCATTCACTGCTAGCCCTGCCCCCACCCCCCCCCCTCAGGGACTATTGAATAATTGTGTAACTGCTAAGATTTTGTTTGGTTACACGATTATTGAATTAAACGATCTCTAACGTCCCTGATTGCTAATGGCTAGTTTTGCAAACCTCACTCGACAGGAGTTGCGCTTGATGTTTTAAGGATGGTCCCAGTCTCAAAGCACATCATGGTGAAGAGCGGAATACCGTACATGAAAGTCGTTGCCAACAGCCAACCCATTTTGACCACTGAAAAGCATCCTTAAGCTCCACTTTGAGAGAGACAACTTGATGACCAATTTTTGCTAATCACTTGTGCAGTTAGGTGCCTACAATGATTTTTGCTCCAGTTTGTATCTTCTGGCATTTAAGAGGACATCAAAATTGGGAAATGGCACTTAAAGTAAGTTAGAGCAGCTGAAATAAATGGAGTTCTAGTGAGGAAGTTTTGAATTAAATGTTGTTTAATGAAATACCAAAGAAAGAAACCAGCCAGTGCAATATAAGTATTTTATTCACAATGGCTACGTCTACACTGGCCCCTTCTTCGGAAGAGGCATGCTAATTTCTAACTTTGGAATAGGGAAAGCCGCGGGGGATTTAAATAAACATGGGCGCCGCTTTTTTTCCGGCTTGGGGAAAAGCCGGAAAAGAGCGTCCAGACTGGCGCGATCCTCCGGAATAAAGCCCTTTTCCGGAGGATCTCTTATTCCTACTTTCAAGTAGGAATAAGAGATCCTCCGGAAAAGGGCTTTATTCCAGAGGATCGCGCCAGTCTGGACGCTCTTTTCCGGCTTTTCCCCAAGCCGGAAAAAAAGCGGCGCCCATGTTTATTTAAATCCCGCAGGGGATATTTAAATCCCCCGCAGCTTTCCCTATTCCAAAGTTAGAAATTAGCATGCCTCTTCTGAAGAAGGGGCCAGTCTAGACGTAGCCAATGGGTGGGATTTTGGGGCGGTTTAGGTTGAACATTAGGAACAACTGCCTAACTGTGAGGGTGGTTAAGCAGAGGGATAAATTGCCCAGGGAGGCTGTGGAAACGCCATCATTGGCCCTTTTTAAGAGCAGGTTAGATAAACATCTGTCAGGGATAATCTAGATCAGGGTGGGCACATCACAAATTTTGGTACATGGTTGTGGGCTGGCTCACAGCAGAAGGGGTGGAGTTGCGGGCTATAGGTAGAGAGACAAAGAGAGCATATGAGTATGAAAGAGACACTTTTTGTGTGTGACACACTGACAGTTTGAGTGTGTGTGGCCATGTGTATAGGACAGGGACTCGTGTGTGTGTGGAAGAGACTGGGGGTGTGCGACAGTGACACGGAGAGTGTGTGTCCTGGCTGCTGCAGGGATCATTTCTGAGAGAAGCCATGCTCTGTCTCTTTAAGGGAAATCTGTCATGCTCTGTTGTCTCCTCCCTCATCTGAGTCACTTACCAGCCACACCTCAGACTGGAGCAGCTCTGCTGCTCCCTCTCCCCAAGCCCTGCTCTGCAGAGATGGGTACAGGGGCAGGGAGCACAGCCTGACTTAAGTTCTCCCCCCATCTTACA